GTTATTCAAAATTCGATGACTCTATGTACCGTTGTTTTATGACAATGTGAGAAATATACATACATTTACGCAGATTTTCATTATTTAATTTCTTCAAATATAATGCAGGACTCTTAACATTTTATGGCAACAGTTTGAAAAGTGAACCGACATTTATCCGTCCGACGCAAAATGCCAAAACGAAACTAATAGTCCTTCGGGATTCAAATCCCTTTGGACTAATAATGAAAATCTGCGTAAATGTATGTATATTTCTCACATTGTCATAAAATAACGGTACATAGAGTCATCGAATTTTGAATAACGTAATCCTCCAACGAATATGAGCATGTGGAAGACCAAATTTGAAATTTGAAATTTGTTTTATGATCGATTTCCTATTTTTTAAAACTTTGAAGAATTTTTGATTAACAAACTCAAGGATTTCAAAGCGAGCAATGGCAACGTTGTGCAGAAAAAACATTTTTATCTCCAGCGCGTGAGTCACTGTATCGGAAATTCTAAAGATATGCTCGTTTTAAAACTATTTTGCGATATTGCTGTTGCACTGGATCTTATGGTTTAAGTGCGAGGAACATGATATTTAATAAAGGAAGGTAACACACAAAATGTTAAAAAACGCCCCTTTGGACGTAATTTAAAATCTGAAACATTTCAGATTTTTTTTTTTTTTTTCCCTTTTTATTTACGGCTGACACACATTTTTCATTAACCACCACAAGTAATATGACCGTTACAGAGCCCTGTCCTTAAAAAATTTTCACAGCGACGCCGATAGACTTGTGAAATATATTTTTGAAGAAAGCAAGTAGCGGCAACTTGCAACAGCGAAGAAGCGAAAAGTGACGCATTCAGAAGCGTGGGAAGAGAAGAGTCCAAAAAGTTTCGGTTTCAGCGTAAATTTTTAATCTAATTGAATAAAAAGTGTCTGGATTGCAAGGTTATTGACGAGGGCTTTTCAGCAATACTGTGCGGAAGAATGCTTCTCTATGATCGATAACATTCGGAAACCGATTTACTTGTTAGACTGAGATAGGGTCTAACCCAGGAGCACAATGAAACGGAACTTCGTTCACAAGCCGAAGAATGTTTCAGTTTGGGGTGGGAATAATTCCGGGACAAAATTCCGGACATAATTTCAAAATAAATTTTGAGCACTGTAGCTTTGAGAACAAATGCATTTTCGATTGGGCCGTTTAGACTTGCGTTTATCTGAGCTAACGGAGAAAATTGACATAGACCCCCCATCTCCAAACCCAGTTTTTCCCCCATAAACCAGCGAGATGAAAAATCTAAACTGCACGCATGGTGGAGCTAGCCGACACATGGCGGAGCACAGCTAAACCGCAGTGGAACGGCCCTTTAGTCCTATTAAGATTTGAGTCTGATTTGGGAAAAGTTCTTGTTCTCAAAAGCAATTCCTAATAGTACTTATACCTTTCAACACGTCTACCCAATTTTAAGAAATTCTTATTTTCGGTGCGTCCATATGACGACTGACGATGATGATTCTTCAGGATTTTATACCCATCATTGCTAATTTAAATATAATTTTGATTTACATATTTTTTATTTTATACATATATCATAATGCAAAAACTTCATGAATACATTTTGCACAACAACGCATTACAAAAACGTAATCATACGCAAATTGGCTTTTGAGTTTAAACACCGAGCGAAGTTTTATGTAGGACAGAGAAGTATAACAACGAAATAATATAATGCACAAGGTTTAGATGAAAACAACCTCTCACATAGCCGACATAGGGATTTGGTGAGTGAATTTTGCACGTCTTAAAGCATAAAATTAGTATTCCTATTAGGTGAACCGAAGTTATTTAATAGTTAAAAGTTACACAGTGTGTTGTAGTATTTATTTAAAAATTTGAGTTACTGAAACTTCGCAAGTAGCAGCTACTAATAGTTATTGAAATTTAATTGCATTAAGACGCAGTTTTTATAAAACGTTTAGACAAATTTTATCTTTAAAGCATGTTGCTGAAGTTGTATTTATTGATAGAAACGATAACTCTTCAAGATTTTGAAAAAGTTAAAAAGAGGTACAGTAAGATAATTAGTTACGTTTAACTTTATAATATTAAAACCAAATTCTATTCTAAAGTTATTATTCGTATTGAAAGGAGATAATTCTAAGAAAAATGGCAGTTATTTGTACAAAAATTAAAAAAAAAAAAAAAAAAAAAAAAAAAAAAAAAAACATATTTTGCAGTTCAGAGCGCAATGCAGGATTTCTTGTATGGGAGATATTACTTATAACTGAAGAATGTGTTTTAGGCAGTACAGCTATAGGGTTTCGCAAACTGAAGAAACTGTGCAATTGTCACATAGAGTTTCGGAAAAATAGCCAAGGAGCTTTCTTCCACTTAAAAAACGGGAGGGAGTAAAAAAGGTCGAGTTAAATTATTTTTTTTTAGCACCGTATCAAACTTTAGAACTTCTAACTATTATGATGCGCTTTTTAAAATGATTGCTGGGAAATGCATAATCTAGTACTTCTTCAATAGAAAATTAATATTTTCCCCAAATCTATTACTCAGATATCTTCTTCCTTAAGTAACGTTAACAATAATAAATTAAAAGATAATATTAACTTACACTAATGAATAAATAACTAAAGTATTTGAAAAAAATACGGGGAAGAATGTGTCACTGGCTACTACACGAGTTTTTTTAACCAACCTTCAATACATTGTTCTGAAAATAATACGCACACTGTTGACAGAATACTGCTGAATAATTGAATAAAGTCCGCATAAGTGAGCTCCCTTTTTAAGACCTCAGTCACATTCGTGTTCGGTACAGATACTACGAGACATCATTTAAAGCCAAATTGTTATATATCACACGTGTGAAAGACGCTCATACGGCGAACGTTCCCGTCGCGAAAGAGTTAAAGGACAGTGCCACCCTTCATTTCCTTCCCACCCCAAACTGAAGCATTCTTCCGCACAGTATTGCTGAAAAGCCCTGCGAGGCCGAGATTTCAACCCCCCGGCAATAACAGGAACAACGCCGCCCCGGCAACCGCATAGCAACCGCTCGCCATTGTCCAGCCGCGCGGAAAATTTATCAATAACAACAGCGTGCCGACACAGACACACAGACACATCCGCATAACAATCCACACACAATGCGCACGAAATATCTCGGACACAACTTAATGTCCACGTTACTCGATTAAATCTGTTAATTACGCTGGACCGGGTGCTGTTGATCCCGATGTCTGGAGGGTAGGCGGAGGAGGACGGCTAATTAATGCGGCAAGCTGGTCCCCGATTTCAAACCCCAAACCCGGAATTAATTAAATATTGATTAGGAGCTTTAACTAATCATTGACTACTAGCCCTGCTTTAATCAGTCGTTAATTAATGCTCAGGCGCAATGTTGGTAGTCCTCCGCAGATATTCAATGAAGCGGCGAGAAATTAAATTTCGGGCCCAGGGAGGCGATGCTGTTAAATTAGGGGAGGTGATACGGGGTGCGGGGGCAGCAGGGAGGCATTGTTAACCTCGGCTAAGAGGATGAATCGACTGAGGGGGTCGCTTTCCGTTTGCGACCAGCCTCCCCTCCCCTCACGAACCGTAGAAATATTCGGCCACTTGAAGGGACAACCCATCGTAGACATTGCCCAGATATTGTAAACGGTTATCAAAGTAGAAGTGAGACCGTGTTCTCAGAAGGCAAAGCGCGATAGTAGCTTAGAATTGATTCGGGAGAGTACGAAAATTTGAATGAAAGGGACAAGACGAATTAAGATTGCCAGAGAAATCTGAGCAGCCCACGATCTGCGTAGATGTAATCACAGCTTGATTACAACGTACATTCCACAGGCCAAGGCTTAAAAATTATCTTAAATCTCAACATAATCTCCTTTTCCTTTCATAAAAGCAATGAATGTTCTTTCATGGTAGTGCAACTCTTGAAAGAAACCTCTGACCACGGTCACGAAATTTTTTTGTTGTTGTTGGCAAAAGAGAAATCTTTTTCAAGGAGCCGCTATATCTAATTTAATTTGTCAATTAATTTTTTAATCTCTAAATAGGGCGTTTTCATATATAATTTGATTATGCGAACTAAATTATCAATTTCGCAAAATTTAATGCATTTAAGCTCCTTTTGGTTGGCAAGTTGAATAGCAAACTCAGTAGCCGGATTCGAGCTTCGCAAGAAGTAAGAACATGTATACCTGAATAATGCTCTTTATAGAAACTTGGTACCAGTTCCCCTCATTTTCAGCTGAGACTTGATGATTTTATACTCAGCTCAAATGGTTCCCCCCCCCCTCTCCAACGTAATACAAATCATGCTGCTGTTTAGTTTAGAGGCAACAGAGACTGGAGAACCATAAACCAATTTTTATAACAAAGGTGTTGCATAAGGTGTTCCTCCTTTATGTTTGTATAAGGAGATAGAAAACATATGCTCAGTTGGAAAAGATAATCAAGTAATATTTGTGGTTCATATTTTAGTACCGAATAAAAATGTCAAACCTGCGTTTGGGAAAAATCATAATCGGAGCACCGCTTTTTGAGCTAAGATGCGTTTAAAACCCATTGACAAGCTGGTGATAAATGAAAAGTTTAGATTTTATCTCCCCGGGTGTTGTCAATCAAAATTTTAGAGGGGATCAGTTTTTCAGAAACATTATTCAGGATAGGACAGCAAGAAAACTTTTCTACTCAAAAAAAGTTAAATTACCTTTTTTTTTTTTTTTTTTTTTTTTTTTTTTTTTTTTTTTCCACGGAACTGATTACACTAGAATGCCAGATTAAAAAATACAGATTAAAAATACAGTTTAGGGGCTGCAGAGAAAAAGCATTTGCAGTTTAAGATTTCCCTATGTCGACAAAGTTTGAAGACCATTGAAATGGAAATCAACCCGAAAGGCTATTTGTTATAAAATGAAGGGAATATTTAATCCCGGATAACGACCCTATCCGATTAATGACAAAGAAGAAAAAGAGAAAGGCACTTACTGCGTCCGTAACGTGAAGGCAGCACTCGTAATGGAGGAAGGTAGGTTGAGACCTTTTGTGATTTCCCTCCATATTTTTTTGTTGATGACTTCGACTAGACCGCCTCTGGCTACTACCAACCTGTACAACTCGTAGAGATCGAGCACATGCTTTGCCATGATGGGTATCCGATTGACCGGCGTACCTGGAATAACAACAAGGACAACATATCAATATTAAGAACTGGAATTTTTTTTCAGAGTCACTTATACTACTAAATATGATTGAAAGTTCATTATTAAGCATGCATTTAGTACCAGATCTTGCAAAAATAATGGGCAAGTACTGTGCTATTGACAATAGCCTTGAACGACCTCTTGAATCATGTTTTTGGGTTATTAGTTTTTAAAAATTTTGCAGTTGCTTCATTGCGATAGTTATGAAAGAATGTAATCACTTCAAATGCTGCTTACTTACCTTCGATTCACCTTTGCTTTATGGAGATTAGCTGCTACTTTGAATAATGAAACCTACACTAAAGTGCCGGCACCGCTAAACAAGTAAAATTTTAATTTGTTCCTCTGATTTGATTAAAAAAGCAAACGAAAATCATTCATGTAAATCGGTGCCCTATCTTAACCATGTCCAAGTCACTGTCTTTCGCCTTGACTAAAGGTACCGGCATCTCTATGACGGTACACCGCTATACAGTGTTCTCAGCGTTTTGTCGTCACAGGCAGTTCATTCTTGCCTACGAGAAATGATACCTCAATCCCCTCAGTCGTAGTTTGGAAATTTATTATCATTCTTATGAAGACTTGGCTAACAGTTACCAACTTCTTTATGATGTTGCACCGTTATAGAGGCAATGTATTCTGGACTAAGAAAATTGATATATTGTCCCCTCGTAGTCTGAAAGTTAACTACCTCCAAAATTTGGCACTGGATGAGCACGATAGCTGTATGAGTAGTAAGTCGCGGCACTCAGCCTATGGAAGTAATGTCACAGGAAAGAGGCGTGACCACCGCCATCTAGGATCACGTGACAACCGTCTATGATGTCATTTAATTTTCGAGGAAATAACGTTGATAGGTTGAATAATTACGTTATGCATGATAGTTTTATTTTCTGTGGCAAGTACGTTTTTTCTGTGACAACGACCACTTGAATCTCATGTTTGAGATATTAGTTTTAATTGATTTTCCTTTATTATTTTTAGTTATTTAATCTGTCACTATTTGTATTATTTAATATGCAATTACTTTTAATTGAGCATCATATTATTCAGTATTCCTTCATTTTTAATTGATTCCATTATTTATTTTTTAACAATACCTTTTCATGAAATTAAGAAGCTGGGATTTAAACCTGCCACCTCTCGAATGGGAGACGTGCACGATATCACAAAGCCGCGGTTTGTCTCTTGCATCATGTTATTTGAAGAAATAACAGGAAAGCAGCGAACTAGCAGCGAAAACGACCATGATGTCAGTAGACTGGAGAACTACGGATACGCAAGCCTGTTCCAACATGCCCAAATCGTTTCACATCTTTGTGCAAGACGGCGAAGGCATATCTTCATAAGAAACGATCCGCATCTCGCTAATAACATACCTTATATTCCAACCAATCAGCGTGTTGTTTCTTTCAGATGAAAATACTTTGTCCATACATTTGCTCGCTTTGACTAACCAATTTACAACATCGGAGGGAAAATTATTGGAATCACAAAACTTAAAAGGAGTCATATACGTAAGATGTACTAACTCGGAAGGTATCAAAATGATAAATGCAGCTTTGGAAAATGACAAGAAAACATTTCATTGATTGGAAAAATAAAATACAGCACCAAATTCCACAAAAAAGTATTCCCAAATGCGCAGTAATCAGATATATAATATGTTAATAAGAGCAAATTTCCAGATATCAGCCTAAGACGTAACAAAGCAACCAAGAGATCATGGAATCCTCACGCTTACCACACGTTTATGGAAAACAGAATATTTTTCAGCAGATGGATAGACCATAAAATTAATGAATTTACAAGAGTAAAGCCATGTTTCAAATGCCAGCAGTATTCGGGACGTGACTGTCCTTTTCGAATTTACTGGGCATTCCCAGGTGGCAAATATAAAATTAAAGAATATAGAGCCGAAACAGCACTATGCATTAACTGTAAGCTATACAATGATGCAAATAATATTATATTAACATCCAACATGTTCATACGCACCAAATTGCACATACATTCTCTTTTTCAAATTGCGAATTATTTCGATTTCACAAAAAGAAAGAGAATGGGATAAAAAATATGTTTCAGCATTCTGTGTTAGTCTAAAATTTTAACCCTAGTTGTGAATTACATTTGAATTTAGTTGTAATCCCCCCCAAAAAAAGTATTCTTGTAAAATGCTCAAGAAGAAATTTTATAGAAACATATCCCCCTCCCTCCGTTTAATTCGAATGATCATGCATTTTCTATTATTTTGATTTTTTCCTATTGATACCACTTGATAATCCGAAAAGAAACTCGGTAACAGATGTTAGAAGCTTTACACACAAAAATTTTATTGCATAGTAAGCATTTATTTTTATCCGTTGACAACAAATGTTTGAAAAACTAACACTTAGACGTTAAGTTGTACTTGAAAGTTTTCAGAATGCAAATTTATTTTCATTATTTAAAAGGGAAGCCTATTGTTGCTATTATTAGTTATGAGATGAGTTTCAATTTTAAATAAATGATAGAAATTAACTTTCATAAGAGAGAATTCGATAATAATGTTTCTCTTTTTTGAAGCAAATCTTTAATGAATCCATTTTTAAACTTTGTAAGTGAGAGAACCCCTTTCGAAGGTTTGCATTTTGCAAGCCCTCTTAATAAAAGATAAGAAAGTAGTTTCATATATACAAACCATTTATATTTCGCTGTAAAAAGTCTTACAATCTTAAGTTTAGATCACAAACATCTCAAAAATTAGCTTGAAGAATAAAATATATGCCATTTTTTCTGATAGTAAAGACGATGTTTCTTTGCCATTAGATGTGGAGTATTTGGTTCAGCAATTCAGTAATCTCCAGTGGTGCATTCAAGAATCACTAGAATACATCAGCTACCATTACAACAGTTATCAGCGGTGAACACACGTGCACTATATTCGCTAGCATTTGCAATATAAAGAATCACCTTCATAGGATCGACACTGTATGGAATCAGCACTGTTTAGGCCGATACACCGTAGAAGCAATATCAGTATACGATCAGTGCGATAAAGAAAAAAACTGTTATAATGTTGAGTATGATTGAGATGTTTAATGCACATTTGTCATCTGCATAGAGTCATCATAAACTTGCGATTCATGCTGCGAAGGATCAACTTGCAGCCAGCGTTCATTATTATCAAACACCAATTTGCAGTCAGTGCAAACATCACACACGGACTTGTAATCATTGTTGGCATAGCATAGTCGAGGTATATAATTAGCAAAATCACGTTATCAATGAGATAAGAATTTGTTATTTTTTAGAGTGTCTTCGCAGAATCAGCACCATTGTAGGATAACACCAGCGTAGGTCTGAAACCGGTTTTGAGCTGCCTTGTCGATTTTCAAAATGTTTACAAAATGTGCCGCATTTCCAGTATGCTTGTTGACAAAGACACCAAAGCAGAAACAGCAAAGTTGCATTGACGATGAGGGTAATGACTTAAGATCTTTGTGTTAACATGAAACAGAAATACTATGTAATGAAAGAGATTAAATGCAATTGCATAGTATTTTTATCAAATTGTTCATCATAAAATTACACAGAAAAATAGATTTAATTTGAAAAATCGCTCGACGATCCTTCACTATCCACTTTCAAACCCTTAGAGATCCAATCAAGGTTCATATTTAAAAATTCACTGCTTTACTGGAAGGCGAGCCCGATGTTTCCAACTACGTTTTTTTTATACATTTTCGAGAATTTCATATCCAGGATACGCCCGCGAATATTTAAGGAACTTTAAGGGGGAGACGGGAGAGTTAGCACTTTCAAGATGTACTGAGAGTTACAACAAGACTAAAGAGCCGCTATTTGCACAATGAACACCTATCGTGTTTGCGCAAGGGGCGGGAGCCACCAGACCACCAATAAATAAGCATAAATTCGTGTCTGTGGGTGGCTTGCAGCTCAACATTAAGTTATTTCGACGGAAACAACATTCTTATGAGATTTTAAATGCACGAGCAAAAAAGCGAACGTACCGAATCCGGTTTCCGACAGATGTACAGACAGAATCGGTCCCTCGCATTCGTTGATCAGACTGGACCACTGGACCGAAGAGAGTTAAGTCTGACATATTTCATAAAGAGCAGCGCACGTGGCGGCTTCTTTGAAGCCGACGAGGGAATAAGCACGTGAAAGAGGGGGGGGGTATCCACTCATTCTCACGTTATTTATAAGTAATCCGTGACGGTTTAGAGCAGCCCAGTTATGCTCAAGCTAATGGCGGCTTTTTGTATGCGGGCGTGCTTTACGACTGCCTTTTTGCGATTCGATCCACAGTAGACTTAAGAAAAAGGTGACTGCTTTTTCTTCTTTATGTCTGTTTCTTCCCCCCCTTTTCTTTCTCTCTTTTCCATTTGGAATTAATTGCGGCATAATTGACAAGTGCTTTTGCAAGACGATTGTGACTTAGTGGAGGTCATATTTCGATGGGCATAAATATCGCCGAAATGTTCGAGGTTGACGGTTATTGGAGCATTTTTTTCAAGCTCTGAAGAACAATACAAGGTAATTTTCTTTACGATGGCATCTTAAATTATTCAAACGACAAAGATATTTGAGGAAAAACAGTGTTGTTTCTGCACATGCTTATCGTAGAAAAGCTCACGAAGTGATTTGTTGGAAATGAGATTTTCCAGTAGGAAAGTTAGTTTCCTTTCGCTACGTCTGAACAAAACATAAAAAGGTTTTATTTTTTACAATGTACTTAATCAGTATAATTTAACGTGCGTTTAATTTATTACATATCCAAATGAAAATAATATTCGCAGTATTACTGCAGTAAATAAACTATGTTTCTAACACTACACATTATGAAACTCGGACCAATTCGCTCGATTTATGTAATTTATTTATTATTTTCACGGACAGCTTGCCAATAAGGTTTTATCATCGACGGCTTTTCTAAGCAGCAAGAGAAATTATTATCAAGAAA